GAAAGTACCCTTTGATTCAGCCGGATTACGGCTGGAAGGCGACCGCTCGCACCCGCGATGCAGTCTGTGTCTCTCTCGCGTCCATGCTCTCTGATCATTTCCTAGCCTTCGACCCGCCTTCCAGCCGCCAATCCCGTTAAATCACAATGTAAATGCATGATGCTCACTTACTTGGATATGTTTTGGTCAATCTTGTCCCGTATATTAGAAGTTGGCAATGTTTGATCCAATGAGACGGATTTTCCTTGTGGAAATGCGAACGCAGAATCTCCCGAACGCGGACTCACAAGTATCGGTGCACTCTCAAACAGTAAAGTAGATGATTTTGTCATAAATCTTCCACAAATACCTTTATCCACATCGGACTTATAGGTGACATTCGCTGCGAAGCTGCTATAGTTGGTGAAAACTCATTGAAAGCCGGGGAGCCTAGCCCTTGCATCAAGTTATTGGCGCTAGGAGAAGCCTGCAAATATTTTCCTAAAAAGTAAAATTAAAAATTCTCAATTTTTATGCGTACCGCACAAAAGTTGTAGAGATTTGGTGAGACAGCACTTGACGGCATCGGTGAGATGGTACCAATTGCAGGTGGCGTAAGGAAGCGTGATGGCGGTCGGACTGATGGAAGCTGAAGTTTATAATTTTACGTGGTTCTACACAAAAAAAATCATCACAACCTTACCTGTCCGGAAACTGCCTTCTGTAGAATGCTCATGTCGAATGTCGAACTCACAAGCGGTGAAGATGGAATACTGATACTGTAAAGACGCAAATTGTGCACATTTCTGTATTAAAATGGCTCTTTTGCACCCTCTAGCTAGTTACCGTTTCGGTATCTGGGACCACCTACACTCCGCAAAGCTATTCTGCAAAAGTGAACCATTTTGGTGCAGGGTCGCAGCCGAATAGCCGCGTACAGAACAGATTTGGTAGGTACGGTAGCGGTGCAAAAGTGCCGTCACTCTTTGACGTGTTGACTCACCAAGGAGGCACAAAATTTGAGAGCCCAGCGACCGTTGGGCTCATTATGGGTGATTCCAAACCTAAGTCGATACTTTCCCTTCGCAAAGGTGTAGGACGTGGTAGAGTCTGTATTGGACCTTTCTTTTTTATTTTTCTAAGAAAATTCAAGCATCTCTCACCGGTGTTGTTGGACTAAAAATATCATTGTCCGAGCCTTCCATGCAACTTTCATCATTGGTTTTGAAATCAAAGTTGAACGACTGCAAAGAACAAATCATTGAGGCTATTTCTGCAAAACTTCGTTGAGTTAAATGTGTGGCTAAACCTTTTCAGACTTAGGCGTTTCATGCGACTCATCAGTTCTTGTTTTCTTGTCTCTGGCGCACCATTTCCAGTCTGGAT